GATGTACTCACGTTGAATTTAATTTCAATACTGCGAATATAAATTGTTGTCTTTTCTATAGTGACACAAGACTAAAAGGAAACTTTATTAGACGTGATGGCAATTTTTGATTGACAATTGTCATTTCTGTATGAAAGAGGAATGTAATTGTTATGACATGCAGTTCATTAAATTGTTTATATATACATGAAACAGGAAAACGGAGAAATATTCTACACGATATTTCGGTGTATTGTTAGCTTTTAAAAATGCATTTGTAACGATTACGTATTTTCTAATGACTACGCCATTTTTTTTAAGTTTATGTTTACGTTCCGCATAAGACGTTTGATATTACTTGATCCTCGACTAAAATATTCTTGATCGTTCGTATATGAATACATATATTTTTATACTTGTACATTATGCATATTATGTATATTATAAATATTTAAATATAGATCTCTTTTATTTTTATATCAAAAATTATCTTTATAAAATAATAAAATTTTATTAATATAAAATGGGTATCTATTAATATAATTTGTATTCATGTTTTTTTTATATCAATTTTTTGTATTACACGATTTTTTTATATCTATTACATATATACATATACAATAAATCTGTTTGTAAATACAAGATGTTACTGTGATAATAATTTATTAACAGTGACAAAATTTGTCATTTTTATTTCTTTTAATATTCAAATAAATTTATTATCTGATCAAGTACTTTTTTAGTTCGATTGTGTAACACTGAGAGCTGTTTTTCTATCGCATGAATGCGACATGTTTAAAAATTGTATCAGGATTAATAGGTACATGGTAATATTACCCACTATCTGAAAAGAAAATAAAAAATATAAACAATGGATATTTCATTAATTAAAACAAATGATTGATTACTTACTGCTGTGAGAAGTTTTGCATCTACATTGACAGCTTTCACCGAAAATATATTTTTACGATGTAATACTTGTAAAGAAAACAGCTGCAACTATAATGTTAGATCGTAAAACAATTAAATACAGAGTTAGAAAATAGAATTGATAAACATAATTCGACAGATCTAATGTTTAAAATAATTGCGTTGCGTTACGTAGCGTACCTACAGTACATTTTAAGAAATTTATATATATATATATATAAAATATATGAAATTATGTGTTTACCTCATTTTTTATTTGTTTATCATTGGTGCTGTTAAATAGATCGTGAATAGTAGTACCAATTTCTTGGGCCTGATTCTTACTGGCCTCGCAGACCCATACAAGTAATATTATTTTTAAAATATTATATCCCGTGGACGTTATAAGTACATCAAGGTACTGTGTATCTACATTAAAAAATACTCCATCTTGCCAGCGCACTATATAGAAATACAACTCAAAGGTGATAGTAACGTAGGTCATGACTATAATAGCAGTGATTTGCAGGCTGAAGTTCATATTCAGCATTTGCACTGTATTGCTAACGGTCAGATGTTGCTTCTTCAAGATTTTGAGTTTTATCATCAAAAATCGATTTCTGTGCTTATTATGAATTAAACTGGGTACACATGACTTTATATCGTTTACCATAAATCTTTGCATGTGTGCCAGATTTTCATTGATTCTCTTAAAACAAGCCTTTAATACATAAACACAATTTATATACATCATATTTATCTGGAATACCAGTAAGGCGACGTGTGTTGTAGCCATCACGATCAGGACAGACCAACAATTAACGTCAAACTCAGGTGTTTTAGAAAAATTTGTATATAATTGCACGACTCGAAGAATAATGCCCAGTATATCTTTGACATGAATGAATTTAGACATCTTTTGATATGATTCCGAGGGTAATTTCGAAGTTACCTTCGTTATCGTTTGTAGTAATCGCATTCGTGGACCACTCACGATGTGCGTGATGATCATTATGAAACAACAGAACGTTAAGTAACTGACAACATCACAATTATGGATTACATCTCCAAAGTTGAATACTGGTATGATAGTATTGAAAAATATCATATTTAAGATGCAAGAAATGCAGACAATCACGGTTGATAAGATGTAACATGATTTTGAAGCTATGAAGGTTGAAGCGTTGATCTTGTATGGAAATATTCCGAGAATGCGGCAAAAAATGAAGCAAGGATACATTAACGATTCGAAATCCGTGGCATGGAATAGCCACCATTTTTTCCGCATTTTTATTTTGACTTGGAATTGTTGAACTGATTAAGATTCTGATTTAATAGAAATTTATACAGAAGTAAAATGTTATTAATCGATACGCTTTAGCACTAATATAGATGTAATTGCGATATTTTTTTCTGAATATAATCTTCAAGCTCTTCTCTTCGTACAGATGTGATTTCCCTGTTCTACACTCGATGAATTTAAGTATAAAACTGCGAGCAAATCTTGCGCCAAACAGAGAGACAAAGAAGTACATTTGTTAGTTGTAAAGTAACCATGGCAGTCTTCGATCGTCATTTGTTACTCTTAGAGTGGAAATGTTTTATTGTTATGACATATGACTCACTAACTTACGTATGCACACATAAAATGAAAAGTTGATTGATATTTTGCATTTTTGTTATATAATAAGAGAATGGCTTTATAAATGGCATGGAAATTATCATCGTGATAATGCGTTGTTGTAAACTCTTCGTGAAAGCTTTATTTAATCAATAAACAAAAATCCACGTGCAAACGTGCAAACATATGCAATGTTTGGATTTGCTTTCAAAAATTAACTTAAGTCATTCATTTCACCTTTAATAAAATTAATTCCAATTTTGTACGTATATGTACATTTGTATGCATATATGTATCAAAAAAAGAATTAAATGTCAAGTGATTGTATTCTACTCATATCTAAAAATGATAATAATCTAATATTTAAACATGCGCTGTCTAATATCTATGTTTAATTATTTTTCTTCTTTTAATTAAATTTCTCCTGTAATATTGTTTGGCTTTCTCTCACATAAATGCGACATGCGCATGAATTGGAATAATATTAATATGTATGTGACGATGCTACCCACTATCTAAAATCAAAATTTTATAAAGTAAATAAAACACACGTTCTATACTTAATAAAAAAATACTTTTATTAAGAAATTATGATTAAGAACTTATTAAGACACATCAGTTACTCACAGCAGCAAGAAACTTCGCGTTTACAGTGAGACCTTTTGCGGAAAATGTATTTTCGCAGTGAAATGTTTGCAGAGAAAACAGATGTAACTGCAGAATCATAAAAAATATAATTATTAATCTTATAAATTTGACAAAGTAATAAAAATTGTGTTGATACACGAAGACACACGAGAACATAATTCAAAAGAAATCTAAGAGCTTAATTTTCTGTTATACTACCTCATTTTTTATTTTCCTATCGGTGATTCTATTAAACATATCGTGAACAGAAGTGCTGATTTGCAGGGCTTGATCCTTGCCCGTTTCGCAGGCCCACACTATCATTGCTATTCTTATAAAGTTGTATGCCATGCGTGAGAGACAGTACATATGATTTACAACTGGCATAATTGACCACAACTCGTTATGTAGCGCATGCAATATATAGTAATATAGAATGATCGTGATATCCGAAAATGTTATGATTGCTGTAGCAAGAAGCTGCAAACTGAAGATCATGTTTAACATCTGTACTGTATTGCTGATCGTCAAATGTTGCTTCCTTAGAACCTTGAGCTTTATTATCAGAAATGGATTTTTTTGCTCGTAGATCGGTTTAGGGATATGTGGCTCATTATTCGCCACAAGCTCTCGCATATGCGCCAGATTATCGTTGATTCTTTTAAAACAGGCTTTTATTACACAAACGCAATTCATATATAGCATATTTATTTGAAATACCACTAGACTGATGTATATTTCAATCAAGAAATTTATTTCCAACGCATAAATGCATGTACATAACATCCCAATTATATGAAAAAAACTAATGATATCTTTAGCATGAATCAGTCTAGATAGCTTTTGATAGGATTCCGGGGGTAATCTTGAAGAGATCTTCAATATAATCTGGAGCAAGCGCATTCGCGGACCGCTCAGAATAAATGTTACGACCATTATAAAACAGCCAAACACAAACGCACAATTATTCGCAAGAATCCAGGGTAACTCTAAGATATTAGTTTGTTCAAAATTGGAAGAATTGTATAACGTCATTAATGTATAAATACCACAAATGCAAACAATGACAGTTGAGAAAACACAGCGCGATTTTGAAAGTTCGAAGGTCGAAGAATTAATCTTATACGGAAATATACCGAGAATATAGCAGAACGTGAAGCAAGGATACATCAGGGATTGAAAATCCTTAGCATGGAATAGTCTCCATCTCTTTCTTTTTTGTTTGTCTTTCGATTCTCCTTGGAAATTCGATGTTAAATTGTACATGATCGGCGATATATGTCACGAGAGAAATTAACTTATGGTCGACAATTTACAAATTATTAATCACGTATTGATACACCTTTATTTTAATATGAATATGATTAGAATAGCTTCTTTAAATTTTTTGCGCACTACTTTTGTCTTTTTTCATTCATAAATCAATATGGACCTCTTGTCGTCGATGTGCACTCGACGAATTTAACACTATTATTAATTGCTGTCTTGAGTAATGAGACTAAATGGATATTTTGTTGGGTGTAATGTAACCATGGCATTCTTCGATTGGCAATCATTTTCTGTATGAAGAAACAATATGTAATGACTCATCAAATTATATATGTATATACGTATGGAACCGAAAATAACGGTATTTTGCGTAATAGCTCCATGTGTACTAACTTTTAAAAATTTATTTATAATAACATTTTTTTATTACATATTTCTTTATTACTATTTATTTCCAAAGTTTACATTCACATTCCGAGATATAAGATTTAGCGTCATACAATATTGAGTTAATATTTCTGATTGTTTCTATATAAATATATTTTATATATGCATGCATTATATTTATTATAAATATATAAGATATGTATAAGATACTCTTTTTTATGTTTTTATATTGAAAATTACAATTACTTTTATACATTCAGAATTTTTGGTCGACAAAATATCACGAGTAAATTGACTCTGAATCAAATAATGCGTTTAATTTGTAATAACGAGCTTTAATATTAATCAAACGCGTGATATATATTTCACATTTTTACTACAAGGTTAATATTTAAAAATATTTTCATTTGATTTTTATTTATCTTTTTTTTAAGCAGATTGTGTAACATTGGTTGCTGTCTTTTCATCGCAAAAATTCGATGCCTTTGAAAATTGTATTAAGATTAATATGTACGTGGTGACATTAGACACTATCTGAAAGTAAAATCAAACAGATAAACAATTTATATTTATTTAATAAAGGTATGTTATCAATTACCGCAGCAAAAAGCGTTGCGTCCACAGTAAGACCCTTCGCAGAGAATATATTTTTGCGATGTAATATTTGCAAGGAAAACAGCTGCAACTGCAATAATGTTCGATCGCGAAACGGTTAAATACAGAATTGGAAATATAATTATATATCCAGCAGTTTTGACGCGTAAAAATCACTTTGGCATATGCTTACAAAAAATATATTCAAATTAAATTATCATCTTACACTACCTCGTCTTTGATTTGCCTGTCGTTGGTGCAGTTCAACACATCGTGAATGGTGGTGACGATTTGTGAGGCCTGATTCTTACCGGTCTCGCAAGCCCATACTATCAATGAGGTCTTTGTGACAAAAATCATAATGACTATGACGAAATACGCGTGATATAATTGCTCTTCCATAACGTGTATTAATACACCTTCTGTCCAGTGCAGTACATAATAGTATATATTAAATGTAAGCTGAATAAAAGTCATGATCATAGTAGCTAAGAGTTGCGAACTGAAGATTATGTTCAGCCTCTGCACTGTATCGCTGACTGTCAGATGCCGCTTTTTCAGGGTTTTGAGTTTCATCAGTAGAAATGGATTCCTCTGTTCGTAATAAATCAGCCTGGAGAAATGAGGCTCATTATTCACGAGGACCTTCTGCAGATTTGCCAAATTGTCATTTAGTCTTTTGAAGCAGGCCTTTAATACACAAACACAATTTATATACATCATATCCATTTGAAATACCAGTAAGTTGATATAAATTATGAAGAATCTTAAGAAGTGATAGAGATCTATTTTAGTATAATATATTAACGCGGTCCCAATTATATAAAAGAAACCGACAATATCCTTCGTGTGGATCAGCCAAGATAGCTTTCGGTATGATTTCGACGGCAGTGTCGACGAGATGTCCAATATGGTCTGAAGCAAATGCATTCGTGGCCCACTCAAAATGTACGTGACGACTGCGATAAAATTGCTGAGCGTGTAGTAACTACTACGCTCGAGAATCTTGGGCATGCTAATTGTCATGTTGATCTTTCCGGAAATGTGAATCTCATACAATATGATCAGCCAGCAAATACAGCAAGCGCAGATAATGACGGTCCACAAGATAAAGAGCGGTTTGTTAATCTCGAAAGTTGAAGCGCTGATCCTGTACGGAAACATTCCGAAAATACGACAGACGGTGAAGCAGGGACACATCAAGGATTGAAAGTCCGTGGCGTAAAATAATCGCCATCTTTTCCGTATTTTGCCCTTGACTCGTCGTTGGAATTTTGAAGAAGGATTGAACATTATCCTTACTGTGAAAAATCTCAATTTGTTTCATTGACACAGTTTAAAAATCAATCTCACTTATCAATACACTTTGGTAATAATATGATTTGCGCGAATACTTCTTTTTTATAATCCTTTATCTTTCTACAGTGAATGCGTTATGTATTCCAATATTCCTTGTTGTCGATTTACACTTGACAAATTTAAATTTAAGACTGTGGACGAATACTGCGATAACCGAGAAGCGAGACCAAACTCAGTAATTATTTGTTAGCCGTGAAGTAACCATGACGCTTTTCGATCATTTGTCATTCTTATTGTTAGAATGAACGTACATATTGTTACATAATACAGTGATGTGTAATTATTGTGATAAATCGGCAATATATCAACTCTTATATGTATACAGATCAAGAAGTTCACAGTTTACATAGCCTATAATTAATAAATTAAAGTTAATAACAATTCTAATAATAACTAAAATTCTATTCTTTATATTCAGTATATATATATATATATATATATATATATATATATATATATTATAGTATATATATACAGTATATATATATATTATACCATAGAAGTTTTTTGTGTAGGATGTTCTTTAAACTACAATTCTGATACTTAAAATTTTTAATTTTTAATTATTATATTTTTATATATTATCATAATTTTTAACGATTGTTTTACTCCATCAAAATATACTATTATTGATATTTATTTTATGAAGTTAATTATGAATTGTTTGTCAATTTATGAAAATGTTTTAAATTAAACTCAATTCTCTTTTACAATATTGAATACTAAAATATTATTAACTTGCGTTGCGTTTGAAATGTGAAAAGCAATTTGTGTAACAAATATAATATTAATAAATTGAAATTAGAATGCAGGGACAGTGCTATTGATTAGAATTAATCTAACTACTTATCTAGATTAAAGTTAATCGATGTATTTTCCTTGGTAAAATTTTTAACAGATCATAATTTATAGCTGGTTACATACAGAATGGATGATCTTTTTTCTTTCAATAACAGTAAGAGGATGTGACGGTGAAAGGCATGAATGTTATCATGTAATGCATCTAATTCATCGATTACATTGCAATGAAATTTTCTTTGATCATTATTAATAAAAAGCTCAAAATGCCTAGAAATATTCAATAAACTGTTTTTGAAAATTAATTTTAATTATTAATTACAAATATGTTTTCTTTACTACTGATCAATGTAAACACAATAAGTTACTAACAAATTTTAACATCAAATTAATTTTAATATTATTAAAACGATATTTCTTACAAATTATTTATTTATTATATATATTTAACAGGGTACACATTAAATACATCAAAGATTTATTTTTACTACTAAATAGTAACATATTATATGTATAAAATTTTGTCTCTATAATATATACATTATATATACATACACAAGTAATGCTAAAACATACGTTGAACATTTAAAAATATATTTTTTATTTGTAATTATGTTTCTTTTTTTAATTAACATTGTACGTAACTTTTTTATTACAAACCTGATCGGCAACCAAGAACTGTATTAAAATTAATAGATATGTAGTGATGTTAGTCACTATCTGAAATTAAAATTATATAAGTAAGCAAAACAAATACTATACGTTGTTTAAAACAAATAATTGTTCACTCACCGCAACGAGAAGTGTCGCGTCTACTATAAGACCCTTTGCGGAGAATGTATTATCGCGATGCAGTACTTGCAAGGAAAATAGATGTAACTACACATGTCAGATTAGAAGATAGTTAAATTCAAAAGCAAAAAATGATCACTAACTGTACTAAATTTAATATATAAGGATTCTCATTAATACACGAGATATCTTCACAAAAATAAGCAACTCAAATTTTATTTTATTTTTTATTTACCTCGTCTTTGATTTGTTTATCAATGGCATCATTCATTATTTCGTGAACGGTGATACCGATCATCATGGCCTGATCTTTGCCTGTATCACAAGCCCATCCCGTCAATGCTATTTTGATACAATAATACGTCATAGATGTTACCAATAATGCATCATAGAGTTCGTGTTCTATATTGGTTATTAACATGCCAATTTTCCAATGAAGTATATAAAAGTATAGTTGAAAAGTAATTTCAGCAAAAGTCATAACTACGCTAGCGAGGAGCTGTAGACTGAAAATCATGTTCAACGCTTGCACTGTGTCGCTGACCACCAAATGTTGCTTCTTCAAGGCTTTGATTTCCTTTAATAAGAACGGATTTCTGTGCTTGTGATAAATCGGCTCCAGACGATGTGACTCGTCGTTCACTATAAGCTCCCGCAAATTCACCAGATTATCGTTGATTTCTTTAAAACAGGCCTTTAATACACACACGCAATTCATGTGCAGCATATCCATTTGAAATATTACCAGGAGGATGTACAGCACCAAAATCTTTTGCAAGTTACCGAAATCCATCATAGAATAATATAATGTCGCTTGTCCGATTAGAAAAAGGGAACCGAAAATATCTTTTGCGTGGATCAGTCTAGACAGCTTCCGATACGAATCAGGCGACAATTTCGAAGAAATCTCCATTATGGTCTGGAGCAAATGCATGCGACGGCCGCTCAAAATATACGTAACGATCGCGATAAAAACACCGAGTACGTAAAAACAGTTGCGTTCAAGAGTTTCAGGTATGTTTGTGCATTTGATCGTTCCACTAATGTCAATTTCATACAGCGTTACTAGTTCGTGAATACAGAGAACGCAAATAACGATAGTCGTCAGTATGTAGCGCCGTTTCGAAGCTTCAAAAGCCAAAGCGTTGATCCTATATGGAAATATTCCGAGTATGCGGCAAAAAGCGAAGCAGGGATACATCAGCGATTGAAAGTCCGTGGCGTGGAACAGCTGCCATTTTTTCCACATTTTGCACTTGATGCAGCTTTGAAATTTCATTGACAGATTCATTATTATCGGCGCAATGCAATAAATTGATATCAAAAACCTAGATTACACTGCCCAAAAAAAAATGTTAATCTTTGCACTTCAACATTAAAATGAGTTTTACTGTGAGAATTTCTTTCTGTGTGTATAGCTTTCAAGTTTGTTTGTGTGATATGGACTGTTCGTCGATCTACACCCGGCGAATTTCAACTCAAAACTGCAAGTAATTTCTGCGTCAAAACAACAACTTACGTTCAATTGTTATTCGTAAAGTAACCATGGTGCTCTTCGATCGGTAATTATCAACTGTGATGTGCAAAGTATAATAAAACGAAACAATTGCTGTAACTCAGCAAATCATGTATGCACATATGTGAAATAGAAAGCATCCCACGCAACACACTTTATCTATACAATAAAAATTTAATATTTAAAAGTTTGAAAGTTATTATTAAAGTCACTTTGAGGAAGTTATTGATTCATATAAATACAACACAATCAGTCTTTACAAAAACGAACTAGTACATATTGAATCGTCTCAATGGAGCGTTCAGTCAATATGTTACTTTAAAATTCGAAAGACGCATTTACACTGATAAAAAATTTTAGCGGTGAATTTTAATACTTTATAAGTTAACAGTAACAAAATAACAAAAATAGATAATATTGCTATGAATCAATTGTTAAAAAGAAAAAAATAAAGGTTCTATAATGACAATGAATGATGATAAATTTCTTGAAAATTATGTTTTACAGTTTACATAAAACATTAAAATGTTATTTATTTTAAATTATTTAAAATTAAATTTGCACTAAGCGTCGCCACACAATATAGTATTAATGCAACAAAATCTTAATTCCTTATTTATATTCTTACTAAACCTTAAGCCATCGCAGAATGAATTTGAGAGGAATATTGAGAGGGATTTTGAGAGGAAATCTGATACATTAATTGAATACTTTTTTACATATTATAAATAAATTTAAAATTACACTCTCTAGCTTATTAATATATTTAACATTAATATATTTTAATGTTAACAAAGTAACAGTTAAATTAGGCACGTTAAATATTATTTAATGAGTCTAGAGCGATATTTTTCATAAACATATTTATCAGATGCTTTGATACATAAACAAAAGAATAAAATATGTTAAAGACTCATTTTTACAATTGAATATTATACATGCAATATATATATAAAATTTTGTCTGTACATAAATGTAGGTACATATTCTTATAAAGTTAAAAAGAATAAGTATCTTAATTAAATAATATATTTCTGTTATTAATTAATATATTTCTATTATTAATTATTATGTCTCTTTTTAATTATGTTATTTGTGTAACATTATTTGCTATCTTTACGTTGCAGAATTTCTCGGCAATCAAAAATTGTATTAAGATTAGTAGATACGTAGTTATGTTACTCACTATCTGAAATCAAAATTAAGTAAACAATACACATCAAATTAATTAAGAAGCAAATATTAAATAATCGCTTCACTTACCGCAACGAGAAGAGTAACATCCACAATGAGATCTTTCGCGGAGAACGCATTTTCGCGTTGCAGTATTTGCAAGGAAAACAGCTGCAACTGCAAACGTGAGGTTATAATACAGTTAAATAGAGGATTGTAAAATTGCTATTAATTATGTTATATTTTACATACAAAAGTTACATTAAGAAGCGGAATATCTTGAGACGAATATAGAAATAAAATTTTATTTCTTTAATTACCTCAACTTTAAGTTTCTTATCTGAGATGTTGTTAAGCAGATCGTGAACGGTAATTCCAATCTTCACACTCCGGTCTTTACCAGTCTCACAGACCCATACTATCAATATTATTTTTACAGAGTAATATATCATAGATATTATTGAAAACAGATCAAAAAGTTGGCCGCCTATATTGTTCATTCCCAGTTTTTCAATGTTGTCTTTCCATCGCGTTACGTGGTGGTACAGATGGAAAGTGAGCTCGATAAAAGTCAAAATTATGGTAGCAAGGAGCTGCAGACTGAAAATCGTATTTAGCATCTGCACTGTGTCGTTGATCGCTCTATGCTGCTTCTTCAAAGCCCTAAGCTCCATTAGCAGAAATGAATTTCTGTGCTCGTGATAGATTCGCCTCAGGAGATGCGGCTCATCGTTCACGACAAGCTCCCGCAAATTTGTCAGATTGTCGTCGATTTTTTTGAAGCAGGCCTTTAATACACAAACACAATTCACATACAGCATATCCATTTGACACAGCAGCATAGTAATGTACGGCGCATGCGCTTTGTACCAGGTATCGAAATTCAACTTGAGGTAATAAATTATTGCTGCAATGATTAAAACGAAGAAACTGAAGATGTCCTTGGTATGCATCAGTCTAGATAGTTTTTCATACGAATCGGGGGGCAGATTTGAAGATACATTCATTATGGCTTGGAGCAAGTGCATTCGAGGACCGCTCAAAATATACGTAACGATCGCAATAAAATTACCGAGAATGTAAAAGCAGTTACGGTGTATAGTTTTAGGCATATTTCCGTTGATCGTTTTACTAATGTTAATCTTATAGAGCACTACTAGCTCGTAAATACAGAGAACACAAAGAATGATAGTTGATAGAATATAACGTTGTTTGGAAGGTTCGAAAGTCGAACCGTTGACTCTATATGGAAATGTTCCGAGAACACTGCAGAAGATGAAACAGCAGGGATACATCAGCGATTGAAAATCCGTAGCATGGAACAACTGCCATTTTTTCCACATTTTACACTTAGCGCGTCTTCGAAGTTTTAATTTATCGGACGGATTTATCATTATCAGCAGAATATAGGAGTCGAATTATCCTATGCTATATAACAATCTAGATTATGCTGTCAAAAAATTATTAATTGTTGCAGTTTAGCATTAACATGGGCTTTATTGCGAGAGATATTTATGAATGTTGCCTTTAACTTCGTGTGTTTACAACGATATAAACTCTTTGTCGATAACTTTGTCGTAAACTCGACGAGCTTCAGTTCGAAACTGCAAGTAGTTGTTGCATCGAATAATTCTTAAGAAATTGTTAGTCGTAAAGTAACCATGGTGCTCTTCGATCGGTAATTATCTTCGGTATACAGAGTATAACAAAACAAAGCATAATGACTCATAACTCATCAAATCATACTTCAAACAGAAAATATTGATTATGCTGTATCAGTAACTTTTTCAAAGTAATTTTGTTAATAACTTTTTGATTTTTAATATTAGATTTTTATTGAATTACAGGATGTTTGATACTTTTACTGCAACTTTGAGATTTTGTATGTGTGTGATTGTAATTTGCATTTTTAAGAATATTATTACATATTTTTGCATATTCAAATATATTTTGATGTCAATAAAACGATTATTTCTATCGATATATTTTTATTATTTAATCCTAATTACAGTTGATAATTGTGAATCGCAAATCGTAAATTATTAAAATATGTATTCAGCTTAACATACATTACATAGCACGTTCTATAGTTTCATGCAATTTATTTCTTTGCGTTAAATAATTCAAAATGATTTAATAATAATATGTAGAGATAGATAAAATTCTATGAATCAATTGCTAGTAATAAGAAAAAAAGTAATTTGTAACAATAAGGAACAAAATTTTTAAACTACATGTTTTATAATTTGCAAAGGTTTCATTTTAAATAGTTTACTGCTGTATTTCCACTAATTCTTGTCAACATGGCATTGATAAAAAGAAATCTTAATTCTTTTTTATTTATATTATTGTTACTAAACCTTGAATCATTATAGATGCATAATATTTTGAATCTGAATAATAATTGAATATCTTTTATGTATTAGAAATCAATTCAAAATTGTATTATCTTATTAATATTAACATTAATATGTTTTATTTTGTTGACAAAACAGTTGTTAAATTATTTAATGAATTTAAAGCGATATTTTCCATAAATATATTCATGCCTCAAGGTATACACATAAGCAAGAGAGAATAAAATATAATAAATGTTTATTTCTACAAAATTGTATTGAATTGTATCAATATTGTATATGAGTGACATAAAAATTTGTCTGTACACATACATATTTATGCACATATTCTCACTAATTTAAAAAAAAAGAATGTTTATCATTTCGTATAAAATATTTTATTTATTAATTAATACCTCTTTTTAATAATTTATTTCTGTAATATTATGTGCTTGCTTTCCATTGCAAAAATTCGTGGCAATTAAAAATTGTATTAAGATTAATAGATATGTAGTTATGTTACCCACTATCTAAAATCAGAAATAAGAAAATAAACAATATACGTCGAATTAATTAAGAAATAAATAATCGCCCACTTACTGCAGTGAGAAGAGTAGCATCCACAATGAGACCCTTCGCGGAGAACGCATTTTCGCGGTGCAGTATTTGCAAGGAAAACAACTGCAACTGCAACATTTGAGATTAAAACATAATTAAACACAAGATTATAATTCCCAATAACTCTGTTAAATTTATTTTAGTAAGTATCTTTTTTTATTCAAAATTACCTCGTCTTGGATTTGCTCATCTGTAATATCATTAAGCAGTTCATGAACGGTGATGCCGATTTTCGTGGCCTGATCTTTGCCAGTATCACAGGCCCATACTATCAACACAATTTTTATAGTGTAATATGTCATAGATACTGCCAAAAGAAAATCATAAATCGGATGGCTGACATTGTTCATTAACATGCCGATTTTCCAATGCATTATATAAAAGTACAATTCGAAAGTGAGTTCGGCAAAAGTCAGAACTATGGTAGCAAGAAGCTGTAGACTAAAAATCATGTTTAACTTGTGCACCGTGTCACTGATCGCCAGATGCTGCTTCTTCAAAGCCTTGAGTTCTTTTAACAGAAGCGAATTTCTCTGCTCGTGATAGACTCGCCTTAGGAGATGCGGCTGATCGTTTACCACGTGCTCCCGTAAATTCATCAGATTATCGTCGATTCTTTTGAAACAGGCCTTTAATATACAAACACAATTCATATATAGCATATCCGTCTGGAAGATCAGGAAATTGAGATACGGTACAAAAGCTTTATGCCAAGTATCGAAATCCAAGGTGGAATAATAAAACACCATTTCCCAGATTAAATAGGAGAAACCAATAATATCTTTGATATGGATCAATTTAGACAGCTTCTGATATGAATCGAGAGGCAGATTCGAAGAGACATTCATTATGTTCTGGAGCAAGTGCATTCGAGAACCGTTCAGAATGTATGTAACGATCGCGATAAAATTACCAAGTATGTAAAAGCAGTTACGCTCAAGTGTCTTCGGGACACCTTTGAATTTGATCGTTTGAGTAATGTCGATCTCATAAAGCACTATCAGCTCATAAATGCAGAGGACACAAAGAACAACAGTTGATAGGATGTAACGTTGTTTGGAAGTCTCGAAAGTCGAGCCATTGATTTTGTACGGGAATATTCCGAGAACGCTGCAAAAGGTGAAGCAGGGATACATCAGCGATTGAAAGTCCGTAGCGTGAAACAACCGCAATTTTTTCCACACTTTACACTTGACGCTTCCTTGGAATGTTGTTAATAAACTGAGCATTATCAGCGGAATATGAGTACAATGTATATTTAAAGATTACACTGCCAAAAATTGATTAATTTTTATACTATAATATTAGTATATGTTTTATTACTAGGTCTTTCTTTCTGAGTAAATCCTTTTGAATTCTAACAAATTCGTAACCGATTGATCTACACTCAGAAGTTTTCTGTTAAAAACTGCGAACCGTTGCTGCATTGAAACATTGGCATTGGTGTTATTTGTTAGTAGTAAGTAACCATGGTATTCTTCGATCGACAATATCTCGTAAGAACAATTAAACGATTAATTTATTTTAATATGATTGTGACCAATAGTTTGCTATATTAGTATTTGTCACACCAACTATTAAAATTGAAAATTAGTATTGCGAATACATATTTATTTTGTGTGTATTCTGTATCATATTATACATGAATAACTTGTGTACGAATATAATTAAACTGTGTACGTTTTGAGAAACACTAATACTGTCGCGAAGGAAATAAGAATAACAAATGTAATATTGTGAAATGAAGTTGTAATAGAACAACACTATTATCTAGATTAGAATTTTTTATCAATTTTTTTAGTCAATTTTTTATCTTGACTGATGGAATTGTTATTAATAATTACATCACGATCTATAGGCTACAAATTAACAAGATTATTTTTATGTTTTAATAATTACAAAGAGATTAGATGTATGGTAAAACACACAAATTTTATTATTGTGATAATGCATGAAATCAAATATTGCCTTGACAAAATTTCGAATTTATTGTTGATAAATTAAGTTGGAAGAGCAAATATGTATATACTTTGAAGAGACTGTTTAAGTAGTTTGTTATACATTTTTATATATTTTTTGCACATTAAGAATCTTAAGTTATATATATATATATTAATTATCAGTATTTACATTGAGAAAGAGACAGGGAAATTTGTTTTAACTTTTATATAAGGGTGAAAAATATATTGTATGTGACATTTTCAATGATCAAAATTTTTTGTAAATATATGTATTGTGTTTTATACGATACATTTAAACCAATGAAACAAGTTAAATTGCAATTAGATGTTACTAGTAGAAGTATTTATAAAGTTTGTATACATATATATTATATATGTAAACGTACTAGTGAATGTTATAATATTATGTGACAATATTTTACTACAATATTCTATGAAAAAGTATAATTTTCGATTACTGAAATAGATATATTTACTAATTCAATATCACTCCATTATTTTTTCAATGAATTTTTTCAATGAATTTTTGTAATGTTGTGTCATGTAAACACTTCATTAAAGTTAATAAATATGTGCTGATGTTATCCATCATCGAAACAAAATTAAAAAGAAAAAATCAATATTAATACATAAAGGCAAATGATCGATAACTTACTGCAGGGAGAAGCGTCGCGTCTACAGTGAGACTCTTTGCGGAGGACATATTTCCGTGATGCAGAATTTACAAGGAAAACCACTGCAACTGTGACAACAAATTGTAAATTAATAACAGAACTGGAAGAAGTAATCATAAATTCGTTATATTTATTATATAAAATATCGTATTACCATTAAAGTACATTTTCATAAAAAGCAGACTAATCCTTGTCGATCTTACAGGCTCTCACCATCAACAATATTTTTATAAAATAATAGACATCGTCAAGAACGTGCCAGATATAATCGCCTACATATATGGATCAGCTTTGAGAATTTGTATGTGTGTGATTGTAATTGGCAGTTTAAGAATATTATTACATATTTTTGCATATTCAAAAGTATTAATACCAATAAAACGATTTCTATTGGTATATTGTTATTATTTAATCTTAATTGTAGTTGTGCATGATAAATCGTGCATTTATAAGTCTATTAAAAATCTATCCAGCTTAATAAATATGGATTGCATAACGCGTGTTGTAGTTTTATGAAGTTTATTTCTTTACGTTAAATAAATAATTAAAAGTAATTTAACACTAACAAAATAACATGTAACATTCTATGAATCAATTGCCAGTAATAAGAAGAAATGGATAATTTGTAACAACAAAATTCTTAAAAATCACATGTGTTACAGTTTACAGTGTAGAACATTAAGTTTTCATTTTAAATTGTTTATTGCTATGTTTCCACTAATCTTAGTCGATATAGTATTGATAAAAAGTAATTTTAATTCCATTTTATTTATATTTTTGTTACTAAACCTTGAACCATTAAGTATAAAACGATGCATATTTTGAGAAGAAATCTGAAACATTGAATATCTTTTATTATTAGAAATAAATTCAAAATTGTATTATCTTATTAATATTAATATTAATATGTTTTAATATCATAACGAAGTAGTAGTTAGATTATTTATGAACTTAAAACTATATAATGAACTTAAAACGATATTTTCCACAAATATATTCATTATACCTCAAGGTCGGCAAACACATCAGCAAGAAAGAGTAAAACATATTAAACGTTTATTTCTAGAATTCAATATTATATTATGTATGCATGATGTAAGAATTTATCTGTACACACAAACATATTTATACATATTCTCATAACATTAAAAAAAGAAAGAATTTTCATTATTTAATATATTTTATTAATTAATTGATACCTCTTTTTAAAAGTTTATTTCTGTAATATTATGTGTTAATTTTCCGTGGCAAGAATTTGCGGCAATCAAGAATTGTATTAAGATTAGTAGATATGTAGTTATGTTGCCCACTATCTAAAATCAAAATTATGAAAATTAACAATACACGTTGAATTAATCGAGAAATAAATAATCACCTACTTACTGCAGTGAGAAGAGTAGCATCCACAATGAGACCCTTTGCGGTGAACGCATTTTCGCGGTGCAGTATCTGCAAGGAAAACAACTGCAACTGCAACATTTGAAATTAAAATATAATTAAATACGAGGTTATAACTCTCATTATTAACTCTGTAAAATTTCTTTTAATTAAAATACCTATTCTTTAATAAAAAATTACCTCGCTTTTGATTTGTTCATCTGTAACGTCGTTAAGCAGCTCGTGAATAGTGGTGCCGATTTTAATGGCCTGGTCTTTACCGGTCTCACAGGCCCATACTATTAACACAATTTTTATAGTGTAATATGTCATAAATACTACCAAAAGCACATTATAAGCTCGGTGACTCAGATTGTTCATTAACACACCAATTTTCCAATGCATTATATAAAAGTACAATTGAAAAGTGATTTCGGCAAAAGTCAGAATTACGGAAGCGATGATCTGCAAACTGAAAATCACGTTTAACATCTCCACCGTGTCGCTGATCGCCAAATGCTGCTTCTTCAAAGCCTTGAGTTCCATTAACAGAAGCGGATTTCTCTTCACGTGATAGTTCCGCCTCAGGAGATGTGGCTGATCGTTCACCACGTGGTCCCGCAAATTTATTAGATTATCGTCGATTCTTTTGAAACAGGCCTTTAATATACAAACACAATTCATATATAGCATATCCGTCTGGAAAATCAGGAAATTGAGATACGGTACAAAAGCTTTATGCCAAGTATCGAAATCCAAGGTGGAATAATAAAACACCATTTCCCCGATTAAAAAGACGAAACCAATGACATCCTTAGTATGGATCAATTTAGACAGTTGTTGATATGAATTGAGAGGCAGATTCGAAGAGACATTCATTATGGACTGGAGCAAGTGCATTCGAGGACCACTTAGAATGTATGTAACGACCGCGATAAAATTACCAAGTATGTAAAAGCAGTTACGCTCAAGTGTCTTAGGTACTCCTTTGAATTTGATCGTTTGAGTAATGTCGATCTCATAAAGCACTATCAGCTCGTAACTGCAGAGGACACAAAGAACGACAGTTGGTAAAATGTAACGTTGTTTGGATGTTTCGAAAGTCGAGCCGTTGATTTTGTATGGGAATAGTCCAAGAACGCTGCAGAATGTGAAGCAGGGATACATCAGCGATTGAAAGTCCGTAGCGTGAAACAACTGCCATTTTTTCCACACTTTACACTTGACGCTTTCTTGGAACGTTGTTAACGAACTGAGCATTATTAGCAGAGTACAACCTATATTTATAGATTACACTGCACTAAATAGATTAATTTTTACTATTAATATTAGTATATGTTTTATTATTAAAGCTTCTTTTTGACTATAGCCTTTGAATTCTAGTAAATATGTACCACCGCAAATATGTAACACCGACATAGACGTTTCGTTGATCTACACTCAGGAGTTTTCAATTTAAAACTGCGAGCCGTTGGCGCCTTGAAATACTGATGTCATTTGTTACTAGTAAGTAACCATGGTGCTCTTCGATCGACAATATCTCATATGTATGTACAATTAAACGATTAAGTCATTTAATATGATTGCGATAATTAATTTTTTTCTTAGCATTTGTTAACAACTATTAAAATAAAAAATGTAGTAAAGAGGTATAGAAATAACATAATGTTATTGCATAATAAAACAATGCATAATTGTTATAATATAAATGACTTATCAAATCATGTATGCACGAATTAAACAGGAAACATTGTGTGTGACTGCTCCGTGTATAAGTAGACCAATGTATTTTTAATAAAAATTAACTGATTTTAAATAACACATACACATATACTGCGTAAAGTATTCAGTATTTCTGTATTTCTATTTAGGATACTTGAGATAATTATTCTGTATATTGAGACTCAAGGAGAGAACAGTTCATTTTTTTCATTTTTCAAGATCAGTAGTATTAAACTCGCATTAAACAAGTAAAATTACTCAAATTATTTATTTTCTGATATTTGTAATCAAACATTTATGCTTACAATTAATATTGCATGTATATATTTACTATGTTAGATATTTTGTATAATATTGTATACGAATGTTAATTTGTATACGAATATCATTAATAAACTGTGTACGTTTTGAGAAACACTGTCGCGAAGAAAATTGAATAATAAACGTAGTATTGTGAAATGAAGCTTATATACTGCAAGGACAACACTTTTATCTAGATTAAAATTAGTGGACTTTTTTCCTTGACTGATGAAATTGTTATGGCATGATCTACAGACTAGAAATTAACCTAGCAAGATCATGTTTATATTTTAATAATTACAAAAAGATCGGATATGTGGTAAATTATGCGAATTTTATTATTGTGATAATGCTTGGAATCAAATATTATCTCAACAAAATTTCATGAATTTATTGTTGATAAATGAAATTCGAAAAGCAAATATGTCTCGAAGAGACTGTTTAAGTAATTATACATTTTTATATATTGTTTGCACATTAGAAATCTTAATTTATATTAAATTATTAATATTTATTGAGAGAAAGTTTGTTTTAACTTTTTATTATAAAAGCAATGAAAAAATGTTTTGTATTTAATGATATTACAAATTAAAAATATTTGTAAATGTGTCTATTATGTTTTATATAGTATACTTAAACACATAAAATATGTTAAGTTGTAACTAGATGTTAAAATACAATATGTTAAATACAGTAAGTAGTATAAAGTTTGTATATATACACTTTGTATATGTAAATTAATGCAATAATGCTATAATATTACGTGATCATTTTTTATATATACTACAATATATACAATATTTTATCAAAAATACAATACTAATAAATATTTACTTATTCAATATTATTTCTCTATAATAATTCATTTCAGTGATTATAAATTTCAGTGAATTATTTGTGTAACATTTGCTACAATTTCTTCACCGCAATATTGTGTTTTCATCTTTAAAAACTGCATCAAGATTAATAAGTATGTGCTGATGTTACCCATTATCTAAACAAAATTAGAAAGATGAACAAATCACTATTATATGTAATGACAAATGATTGATAACTTACCGTAGTGAGAAGCGTCGCGTCTACAGTGAGTCCTTTTGCGGAGAATGTATTTCTGCGATGCAGAATTTGCAAGGAAAACGACTGCAACTGTAACATCAAATCCTCAATTAATTCATAAAGTCAAATTGTAAGAAGTAATCATAAATTTATTAGATTTATTATATAA